CCTCACTACTTAGATCCATTCCATCTTAGTAGATACTTTCCAAAGCCAGTAATAATGGCTGGAGTAATTTTAAGACAACAGCCAAAGATAACTCTTGAGAAAGCCAGAGGGTTTTCCCAGGTTGGACTAATTTGAACTTCAGTCCCAGTGTATCTTCTATATTTTCCAAGATATTCAGTCTTTTTAGGACTCTTGCTGAAAAAAGAATATAATGAAGACATTAAATTTATAGCTTTTTAAATGTCTTTTGAAGAGTCTGCAGCTCGTACTAGCGGTAGTTGCAGTAGGTGGGCTCAGCAGTGTGTATAGGAGAGACTAGGATTACACTTTTCTCTGAGCGAAGCTTGTGCTCCACCATGTCTTCCAGAGAAATTTGCAGCTCCATCAAATGCACAAGCAACCATCTGTTTGGGGTCCAATTGACAAGCATTTAATTTTTCTAAGATGGGGGTTGTCACAGATGCAGCCAATCTGTCTTCTGTAACTTGAACATCTCGAAATGCATGTACTGGCCTACCACTGACATCAAGATAACGTCCACAATGACTTGATGACCATTTGCATTGGTGCATTCATCAGCCATGTATGCAAATTTTTTGAATGTGGTGAGAGAGTTCTTCACTTTTTCAACTGTTGAGTCTTTCACTGTTGCACCACATGCGTCTAGCCAGTCAGTTGAGTTTCTTGCGGAAAGATAGTGAGCATTTACTGGTCTTGTTCGGAACCAGTGTTCCAGTTCAGGATGAACAAGTGACAATGCACTTAACATTGGCCTCCAGTTTGTAGTGTGTGGTATCTCTTGCCTAAATAGGAAGTATGATGCCACAGCCGTGTTTGTTCGCATGAACTGTGTTGTGTCTCCAGCATTCTTAACAGCCTCATTAACACTCACTGGTGTTGTGCTTGGTCAGTGGAGACTCAGAGTTCAGAGGTGCTTTCACATGAGTTCACCTCCCAGGTAGGGGGCAAGAAGGCACCTTGCTTGTTCCTCCAGCTGCTCACTGTTTGCTCTGGCCACTGTTTTTTGTTGTGCCACCGTTCACTCCATCGCTCTGTTGCCACTGGCCCTGCGCCGTCACCTTCTGCTGCCACCTGCCACTGTGACCTCTGCGACCTGGTCTCTTGAGGTTCCACCGCTCTCAGTGATTTCAGCTGAGCTCTTAGTGGGGGAACCTCATCGCTAGTGCAGACTGGGCCGTCTCTTCCACAGAAACACTGTCCCACAGGAGGTCTAAGCACTTAGACCTGATTATCAGTGATTTCAGCTGTTGTGGTCACTTAACATAACAAAAGACTATCTATGGAGCCTAATCAGCTCTGTCTTTAAACAGTGGAAAGAGGAAGGTCAAATCGTACTTGTGACTCAGGCAGACCATCAAGCAAAACACCTGCCCCCACCCTCTTTTGATGCCCTCAATCAGCACAGTTCTATTGCCCTTTACTCAGACAATAAGAATAACAACATTTCTTTACCCCCTGCATTCAAGTGATTTGTAACCCAACCCCAGCCAAAATCTATCACTTGGGCAACACAGCTCTATTTGCTGGATAGCTAGGTAGATTAGGTGTGAAAGTAAATACAATCTGGTCCTGAAGCCTTTCCCCCCGGCCAGCAGCTCATCACTAGCTGTCAGGGAGAGCTCATTTAGACTTTGCTTACAAATGAATGCACTGACATGGTCATAAAAACAACAGCTGTGTAAGGAAGCTAGTCTATGTTCACACGTTTCAAATTGATTATTCTTTTTTAGATACACGTATTTTATCATACACTTTATATACTTTTAAATTGTGTATTAATGTTTCAATTTCAATTCAAATTTCCAAACAATCACTAAATTGGCAACACTGCATTTAACTAAATCACAAAACTGGGGGGGGGGGGTGTTGTGGAAATTCATGGGGGGTAAACACCCCCATGGGAGGGGGATAGGAAAATCCCTGAACCTAAGTGTCTAAAGTTAGCTTCTAAATCCACATTTACTCAGTTAAAGTGTGGAGCATCCAGCAACTTGCATTTACTTCAGTAGGAGGTATTGGCTGCTCAGCACATTAAGGGCCTAAATATGTACATAGAAGTCAGATTTAACAGTCTTGGCCCAAATTCTGAAGCCCTTCAGAGGCAGTTAAGGAAATTAGCTTTACATTTCCTGTCTCTTGTTGCTTTATGTCCTAGCCTGATGCAAATTGTTCATTGTTGCAGCTTAGTCACATAATGGAGCCAGAAGAATCACGCTGCAGTGAGCATTCCTTAGTTCTGCCTTTCTAATGTTGACAGCGTATGGTTCTTTCTCTAATAAATGATACAGCACCATGGTCTTTGTTGCTAAGCAAATAGCTTTCTCTCTGTACTACCTTGGGAAAGGCGGTGGGGATGTCACCTCAGATTTTTACTGTTGTTTTTATTGGAGGCCAATAGCTTTCTTAAAACTTGTATTCCTCAAATTAAGTGACCTCAGCCTCTCTACTTTTTTAACTTCTAAAAATGTATGCATGATATAGTTCTATCAGAGGCAACTTAAAACCAGCTTTTTAAGAGAGGTTTGTCTATAGGGATGTGTACCCCTAGAACCTTCTTATCTACTTTGAGACCTGTCTTGGTTAAAACTACCACAATGGTATTTTATTGATGATGATAAATAATGTGTCCTTACTTCATCCTATTTTCATTCTGTGGCTCTCAAAAGCTTTACAAAGGTGCGTAGGAATTATCCCTGTTTTACAGAGGAGACCATGAAGGTATCAAGTGAGGAAGTGATTTTCCAGACTCGTGTAGGCTGGGAAGATGAGTGGTGGTTTTAAATAGATCAGCTAACGTGCTATTTATGGCATTTTTAAAACATCTCGTGTTCACAAATACAGTGATGTTTATAGAGGTACTGTCTGACTATGATCAAAACTGGTTGTAACTAAAGTAGCTTACAGACAGCATTAGCTACTAACTCGCTATGTAGTTTACAAATGGAGTGATTTAACTAGATTTGACCACAATCAGGGAGCACATTTGTAAACACTGATCTCTCTGACTACACGATGTGTTTAGAAATGTGTTAAGCAGCATACGTTGGCTAACATGTTTTAAAACACCACTAATTCTCCCAGACTATACAAACCCCACATCTGTGGCAACAGATTGCAGCTCTCCTGACACCTGTTTGAGGGCACTATCAACTGCAGCTGTAAGGGACCTCATCATCTCTGGAATGGGATCAACTCTGCCTGCTAGAGGAGTGAAGCAGGGGATAGCTAGAAACTTAATTGCGTGTACACATTGGTCAGGCCCTTTCCATTCAGTTCCCCATCACATTTAGGCACTGCCTGCTACTGTGTTAGTGAGCCTATTAATTGTAACAGTCTGTCTACATTGAGAGGTTATAAGTATGCTAATAAATTGACCCTTATGCCTAACATGTGAAATTCAGCCCTGTGCAGCAAGCCAGCACAAGGCCTGTGAAAAACATAAGGGGAGACTTAAGTGGTCCGCATGCCTTATGCTGGCTTTCTGCACGGGTATGAGTTTCAATACGTTTACTAACCCAAGGGTTGCAGTTGGACAAGATCTATCTGTGTATGTTAATGAGAGGCCTGTTGAATATAGAAAACATCCTACCAACAGCCTTAAGGAATATCATCCCAGTAGCTTTAAAAATGACACGCCTTGGGACATATAGAGCCAATGTGATATAGCTGTGAAAAAAGCTAATGTCATCTTGGGATGCATCAGGAGAGGTATTTCCAGTAGGGATAAGGAGGTTTTAGTACCATTATATAAGGCACTGGTGAGACCTCACCTGGAATACTGTGTGCAGTTCTGGTCTCCCATGTTTAAGAAGGATGAATTCAAACTGGAACAGGTACAGAGAAGGGCTACTGGGATGATCCGAGGAATGGAAAACTTGTCTTATGAAAGGAGACTCAGGGAGCTTGGCTTGTTTAGCCTAACTAAAAGAAGGTTGAGGGGAGATATGATTGCTCTCTATAAATATATCAGAGGGATAAATACCAGAGAGGGAGAGGAATTATTTAAACTCAGTACCAATGTGGACACAAGAACAAATGGATATAAACTGGCCACTAGGAAATTTAGATTAGAAATTAGACGAAGGTTTCTAACCATCAGAGGAGTGAAGTTTTGGAATAGCCTTCCGAGGGAAGTAGTGGGGGCAAAAGATCTATCTTGCTTTAAGATTAAACTCGATAAGTTTATGGAGGAGATGGTATGATGGGATAACATAGTTTTGGTAATTAAATATTCATGGTAAATAGGCCCAATGGCCTGTGATGGGTTTTTAGATGGGGTAAGATCCAAGTTACCCGGGAAAGAATTTTCTGTAGTATCTGGCTGATGAATCTTGCCCATATGCTCAGGGTTTAGCTGATCGCCATATTTGGGGTCGGGAAGGAATTTTCCTCCAGGGCAGATTGGAAGGCCCTGGAGGTTTTTCGCCTTCCTCTGTAGCATGGGGCACGGGTCACTTGCTGGAGGATTCTCTGCTCCTTGAGGTCTTCAAACTACAATTTGAGGACTTCAATAGCACAGATATAGGTGTGAGGTCTTTTTTTAGGAGTGGTGGGTGAAATTCTGTGGCCTGCATTGTGCAGGAGGTCAGACTAGATGATCATAATGGTCCCTTCTGGCCTAAATATCTATGAATCTATGAATCTATATACCATACACTTGCCCGCAGCCATGGACCAAAGAATGCTAAGTTTGCTTCTGTGCATAGATTTACATATGGTGGTGATGCACTGCTCTGCTGCAACTCTGCACATGTAGGTTATACTGCTGCAGATACTCAAATCAAAATGAAACATGAGCACAAGAGAGTAGATGGCTTTCAGCAAATTAGCAGCAGTATGAATAAAGGGAACTGTACAAAGAAAACACATGTCAAAATGAACATTGTAATAATGTCCTTTTATCAGAAATTATAAATTAACTCTGGAATATCTTTGTTTTATTTAGTTTTATTTATGTGTGTATTTATTTTTTTCTGTAGGCTGTGGAAACCAACCTTGCTTCAAAGGATAGTCACTGGGTCTTTGTAAATGAGGTAAGATAGCCAAGAGATAAGCTAGTTTTGTCCTAGTGTTAACTCTTTCATCTACTTTTGTTCCTCTTATTCCATGCATTTAAACAAATCAGACAGAGGCATACACTTTCCATTTTGCTTTTGGATGATACAATAATTCAATTTGTGTGGCTTCATAGTTAGTCTCTCATTTGGATTGGCATACGCTGAATACCAAAATAAAGTCCCCAGTGTATATGATAACAACTGAAAGGCTGTTAATTCCCCCCCCCCCCCATAGTGATCTATTCCATTAGCTTTTTAGTGCAAAGAGAGCTGCTCAAAAGACACCTCACCTCACTTCGCAGTCAGAAACCACTGACAACAATAAAGAACAGTGAGGCTGGATTTAAAGTCTGTCAATTGTTGGCCTATTACAACATGAACTTACATGATATGTGGTGTAACTCTACTGCAGAATTATGTTGATCTTTTGGTCATAGTAATATCAATTTAAGATGTCAATTTCCTATCATGTCCTTGGGCGGGGGGGAAGGGAGGGAGGGGTGGAGAGGGGAAGGACCCTGTATCTTGTCCTGACACAACTATTATTTATTTTGTGTTAACACCAAGAGGCCCCAATCAGGATCGATACAGACAGTGTTAAAGTACAGTCACTACCCTAGAAAGCTTTATACACTAGAATCCCAGATATGCCAATATAATCATTATACATCTCTAATTGCTTAAGAGAAGCCATATTAGTTTAGACATTTATGTTCTTTAATAATGGTATTGTTATAAAGGGTAATATAATATTTAAATGAAAAAGTGACTCAATCCATTGCCTTAGATTCATATTTTATACATACAACAGCAAATTTAACTACTGATTCCTTTGTTCGCTTTTCAGTCTCTTCTTTGCATCTAACAAATAGTTTTGGGTTAAAGTAACCTTATCTATTAACAGTAACTATAAATTGCATTGTGTCACTATAACTAGTGACACAATGCAGAAAATGCAGGTGGGAGAAAATAAAATCTCTGTATACAAAGGTTTGAGTTTCTTCCCTATCCCTGTTACATTTGTGTGTCTCCTCCTTTGTCACCTACTGTAATGGCCCAGTAAAAATATCAGCAAAGCACACAGTGTGTCACTATTCATATTCACATAAAGATAACACACTGAATGCTTCCTACAGTATTTATTATGGGGTTTTGTTTGGGATTTTTGTTGTTGTTCAGATGTTAAAATTCACTTCATAAAGCCTAAGTCTAAATACCCTTAAACAAACAAAAAAATCACCACTACCACCACAACAAACCTTCAAAAGGTGTCAGGTTTGCTCTTATTTTGAGAGAAACAAAATATGCATCTCTTTTTCTGCTAGAGGGTGGATGGGGAAGCCATGCTGGCAAAATGCAAATCTAAAGTATCAATCAATGGTTCACGAGACAAGAACAAATTAGAATTCCCATATAATGTAATAAAATCTGGGGGACTTGTTATTGCAGGTAGAAATAACAACATAAATATTACTCAGTGATAAATATCAGTTCAAAATCTTATAGACTCTATTAAATCCAATTGAGTTAAAAAAGAGAACTATAAAATAAATACCTCAAATCCATGAAACTCTGGAGCGGAATATGCAAGCTAAAAGTGCGAGAAATGTCATAATTCTTCCATTTTAATGGGAATGGGTAGAAGTGGGTTGGTTACCATTTTGACCTCCAATATGTATTGGCAGGAGTTATTAATGTACATTCTTCTGTCCTACATCTATAGAAGGGCAGACTCCTTTGGACTTAATTCTAATTTGAGATACACAGGCATACATTTGTGCATATCTAAACTTTGTGCTTATATATATGCACAGTGAGAGAGCATCCTGTCCTCATCCAGATACCACTGTCTACATACCAATGTCCACTTGACATCAGTGGGGATGTTGGGGCAATGCCACTCCCTGGACATGTACTGACATGGGCCTCTGATTCTCAGATTGGAATCCAGCATTTAATCCACCTGTGGCATCCAATTTTTTAGAAGCAATTGGAACCATTATTTTCAATGTTTTCTTCCATGAGTAGTATGCCGGATTGGGCCTATATCATAAAAGGCACATATTGGGGCTAGTGCACAGCCACTTCCTCCCAGAGAGAGATCCAGGGAAGCGCAGCCTGCTGAGGGGTTCAGGGTACTCTTCTGTTAATGGCCAGCCAGCTCCAATGCCAGTGCAGAAAGAGGCAGAGCCATGACAATCCTGAGGGGCAGTAGCAAGAAGGAGCCCCTAAACTCAGGCAAGCACAAAGCCTACACTGTGTCTTGTCCCCTGCAAAGGGAATGCAAAATTGCAGGGTGAAGCACCTCTGCCCTTCCCTCTTGCTCCTTTGCTCATCCATATAAAGACTAAACATAGTCTGGCCACAGTATGGACTCAATTTTGTAAGGTGCTGAGCATTCTGGTCTGGATGAAACTAAAAACATAAGCATGTACTTAACTTTAAGTGCACCAATGGGGCTGTTCACCTGTTGAAAGTTAATCATGTGCTTAAATGCTTTGGTGGACTGGGGCCGGAGTGCTCAGCATCGTGTAGAATCAAGCCTTATGTGCACATTACAATCACATGGCCACTCTCCTGCATGCTCCCATGAGGCACATTGTAAGTCTTGATCACACCTTATTTTGATGTGGAAGACCTGAACAGGCATCTAAGCTAACTGATTTGCACCATGGGGATTAGTTCGACTTCTAAGAAACAAACTACCATAGTAATATTTCTTTCATCTTTTATATTCTTGGGCCTGGTTGTAAACCCCCAGCTTGCAACAGTGAGCAGCTAATGACCTAATTATTCCCATTGTAGGCAATGGGATGGTTTTTGGGAGTACCTGGTCATCAATGGGAAGGAGAGGTTTTACAATTTGGCCCTTAATATTTTGTTTACTGTATAAACTATGGAATCCTGGAACCCTGGAGTCAATCCCTCTCCCTGCTGTTCCCCATTTCCCAAATCAAGTTAAGTTCAAATCCAGACCTGAACTTCATGACTCAGGCCCATCTCTTTACTCTGCTGTAGTCTGAATGAGTACACAGCATTGATTTATTCGTATGAAGTGTCTATTGCAGTTTTGCTATAATTAGACTATTTAATTATCATTATTTGATAACTGAATGGATGTTTTGATTATTTTTCATGTCCCCATTTCTGACACCATGAGGTTGAGGTTCAACTTTGGAGTCTGAATTTCTATTTTAATCTTTAAAATAAGTAAATATCACCAAGTCTGAGAACAGCAGTGGACCAGTCTTGGATTACATTGCTCCAATTCACATCAGTGTCTGGCATGTGGTGCTCTCTAATGACCTGATTCTTTTTCTAGTCACTCCACTGTTCAATTAGGAGTGGCATTGGTGGATTCAAAAGGGTTCCAGTCAGCTTCAAGCAAGAGCCCAATCCAATTCCCACTGAAGTCAAGAGGAATATTTAAATTGGCTTCAGTAGGACCTGAATCAGGCCAGTGGAGGAAGGAATGCTACAGTGCAAAGCCTTTCAGGATGGGGAAAATACCCTGGGTACACAGGGAAAATAGACAATTACTTCCAATATTTTACCTTTTGAATCGCCTTTTAATGATGATCCTCCCATCTTCACAAGATACACTTGATATTCTTAAATGTTTTGTAATGTATCTAGCTGGTTCCATTGCAGGTATTTTATAATTACAAATTGCTGACAAGTCAAAAGCTGTAAATTGTCTTTTTGTGTGTGTGATTTTTTTGGGGAAAAAATGTACCTGTCAACGATCCCCCATTTTAGCCCATAGTTACCTTATTTCCACTTTATAATTGTAGATTAGTCAAAAATAGAGAACTGAACCAGGAAACCAACGTTGGGGCCCAAGTTATTATGTATTAAGAAGTTCATCCAAAGGGTTTAAAATGTCCTGCTTTACATGCACTTTTCCTTTTACATTCTTGGCTTGTGGATGGGCCTTGTGATGCTTTGGACAGGGATGAGTCTAAATATTTGATTAAATGGTTCAAATACTTTTGAAAAAGCCAGACTGGAAGTTGTGGTTGTGTAAGCCTTAGCAAAAGCAAATGAGGGTGATAACTTTAGTGTCTTCAGAACCACGCAGTGTGTTTCCGGGGTCCTGGTTCCAAGAAGTGCTGCGAACCTGTGACCCCCAGTGATGGCAGTCAGAGTCATTGAAGGTCATCACGTTTCAGCAACAGAACTTGAAAAATACCGTTTGTGCCCTGAAGTTTTTGTTGGAGCCATTCACACGGTGGTGGCCTGGCACTCACTCACTCTTCCTGTGTTTCTTGGTGCCATGCCCTGGCAGTGTTGTTGATGCCTTTCTTTTTTTATCTTAATATTTGCTTTCTTTTCTATCTCTTCTCCCCTCCCCCCCTCCCCCCCACTATTCCCTTTACATTCCTTTCCCCCACCCCCCCCTTGAATTTTGCAGTGGATCTGGGGTTATGAAAAGAGCAGGATGGGAACCGGATTTTCCATTTCCGAGGAAATTCCTCAGTTTTGAATTTTTTTCTATTCTGAAATGAAATGAAAACAAACAAGTTTGAAATGTCCTGGAAAATACAATTCAGAAAAGTAAACATTTTGGGTCAATTGATGCATTTTGTTTTGACAAAATTGAAGCTTTTCATTCCAGCTTTGGTTTTTTAACACTTTTAAATTTTTTTATATAAAACAATAGTGTTGGTTTCAAACAATCATTTCAAAATGAAAAATTGAAACATTCCATTCTGAAAATCTTGAAATGGGACATGTTAACATTATCCAAAAATCTTCATTTTTTGAAAAACTAATTTTTTTTGAAATCAGCATGTTTCAGTGAAAACAGCATATGACACTGAAAAACTGTTTGCATGAAAAATGTCGACCAGTTTTAGTTAGAATTTTTAATACTTCCTCCAGCACCAGCACCATGCTGTATCCCTTTTGTCCCAGGCCCACCTCCCTAAACATTCCTCACAACCTTCCGGGGGAGCTCCCTGATTAGCCTCGGC